AGGAATGCCAACTGACTTCCATGGGTTGCATTGGAATACATTACAGTACAAGTAGAGTTGCAAAGAAAATGTGGAATGGATTTTCCATTAGGGCCTCTAGGCCCAAATTCGCTACTCTGTGACTGGAATGACAGCCCCTGGGGGTAACAGATGTGTTCTGAGGGTGGAATGACAGGCACCAGAGTGGAATGATAGCCCCTGGGGATAGCAGGAGTGTTCTGGGAGTGGAATGACAGGCCCAAGAGTGGAATGACAGCCCTTAGGGGTAGCAGATGTGTTCTGGGAGTGTCTTTCCAGTCCCAGAACACTCCTGCTACCCCCAGGGGCTGTCATTCCACTCTGGGGCCTGTCATTCCAGTCCCAGGTCACTCCTGCTACCCCCAGAGGCTGTCATTCAACTCTGGGGCCCATCATTCCAGTCCCAGAGTAGCGAATTTGAGACCAGAGACCTTAATTGAAAATCCATTTTGCATTTTCTTTGCAACTCTTTTTGAGTTGTAACGTTTTTCAATAGAGCCCATGGAAGTCAATTGGCATTTCTGGCTCCCATTATTTCCAATGGGCCTTCAAGTCTCTCCCATTGTTTCTAATGGACAATCCTGTCCTTCCTTTTAGTACATCCTGGTTTTGACCTGCATCTCAAATCGTCCTTATCAGAACAGGATTCTGAAAGCTATTGGACTTCCTCAAAGACTTATTCAAGATGCCTAAAGCAGAACAGTTATGTTATGTACGTGGACCGCCTCCAGGGGTCCGCAGACAGGCCAGAGCTTGGATCCGAAAACAAAGGAACCTTCGGATCCTGGATTCCCTAGCCCCAACCAATAGACACCTTGGCGGGACATTTAAACCCTCCAATGGGAGTGGGGGGGGTGGCTGGTGGATATGTATATAGTTGGACCTGTTGGCCGTTAGAGTTAGTCTTTGTCTATGTGAAGTGCAATAAACGTGTGCTACAGCATGTCGTTGTCCGAGTCCTCCATGCGGCGAGCCCCATACTTTTCAAGTTAATCCCCTTTGAGCATACTCCACAATTTTTATACGGGGGAGGGGAGCAGAATGAATGTGCTTTTTCCAGGGTGCTGCATTTGTGGGGAGTTCCATCAAGTATTGTGACCTGCGTAGAGGAGAGTCCGTGTCTGACCCCAGGGAAGGCGAGCATGCAAGCCAGGCCAAGAAGCTTCTTCCCCACCCCACCCCACCCCACCCCATGCAAAGCCTTGCTCCAGGGTGAAGGAGATGCTGGGAAACTCATCAGCAACGCTTCTATGCAGCTTGCGCACCTGCCTTCCTTCCTTCCAGGAACAACAGGTGTCTTCCCTGTTGCCGTGGCTGAGGGGCAGCGCGAGTGACTCATGCAG